TTTTTTTTTTTTGTTATAAGCCTTTGTTTCCCCCCCCCCCCCCTCAATTTTGAGACTAGGACGTTTGAAATCCTCTCTTTTTACTGATTCTGGTATGTCCCTCCTTCACTTAGTCAATGGGTTCCCTTTGACAACTGTGTTTCTCTGGAACTGTAAATCCACCAGCCTCTAAGGGTGTAGTTCACAGGAGTGGGTGACAGGACTTTCTTGGCAACAATACCTCCTTGTGGGAGGACACAAGAATGGCATAAAATTCACTGCATTCCATGTGGATTTCACACTGCTGCAGTTAAAAATAAAAAACACGAGAAGAAAGCCAGATGTAACAAATAGAAGAGAGAGAAATGTGGTGCTTAGATAGGATTTAGTAGCAGAAAGAAAATCTATTCAAAGAAATAAGAGAAGAAAGCTTAATTCTGATGGTCTTGCCTAAAACAATAAAGAACATTTAGCTGTTGCCAGAGTGTGATGTTGAACACTGTCTCTGAGGGGTGCTCACTGACTGCAGTTAGTGGTATTAGTGCAAGTATCTGTATAGATGGATTGCCTGCCATCGGCTAGCAGCCCAGCAGAAGTGTGTACCTTTTGTCAGCTATTTGCCAACAACAAATTTGCCAACAGGCTTACAGTTGACTTGTTTTTAAAGGAATTTTCGTGTAAGGTTTTGGATATTTTTGGTGCTGGATAAAGTGCATGGATCCTCTAACTTTTTTTTAAAAAATACCTGTGGCTGAACTGTGGTTTTACCTTTCCCAATGCCCAAGCATAGATTTTTGTAAGCATGTATGTAAGTAGCGGTCATTTGACAATAGCAGTAGCCATTGGTAATTGATCAGCTAATAGCAGTAACACCATTTACTTTGGGAGTCATTTATCTGTGTGTGCTGAACAGAGTCTTGGAAATATCTGCCTTCCAATAATTATGTAGTCTTGATATATCCTGACTTTCTTTGAATTGCTTCTCATTTGAATGTCTAAAATAATTGAAATACTATGAATGCTCCCGTCTTTCTGCTTCCCTATTTGTGCCACTAAAAGGGCACTGTCTTTCACATTTCATTGTTTGTGACAAATGTAATTATGGAAGAATATCTGCTTGATGGGAATTACAATGAAATGGATGAATTTGCATTGAATTGTCATGCTGTTTACTGCATTTTAAGTAAGTTCTAACATCACATTGTTGTTGGAGCTGTCATTTTCTGCTGCTTGTACTCATAGCTCCTATCTGCCTAGGCTACATCTCATAACTCTCTTTTAGGGTCATGATTTTATACTTGTTCCTCTGCCCATCCCAGCTTATGTCCAACTCATTTCTAAGGGGTTGGTCATATTCAGATCCTTCTGGCTTGTCAGTGCTTTGAAACTTCTAGTACTGATAACAGTACTCATCTAGAGAGGTGTTTCTGTCTATTGCAGATGGGGAAATAAAAGACCTTAAAAATCAGTTGTTCTGATTAATATTTGATTTTTATTTCCTGTAGGTTTATTTGTTGTGATGTGCTCAGCTATGGTGCATTATCTCACCAACTACTAGATAAAAGTTCTAATTTGTTGTTCTGAGCACAAGAAATTGATATTTTTTACTTTCAGTGTTTTGTGATGTAGCAGGTGCTAGAACCAGATCTCAAATTAGTGTGGTTTTTATTTATTTATGGAGTTTGTTGAGCATGTACTTAAGATACTTGATTTGCACAAAGACTTTAACAAATCCGAGAGAACCAGAAAGCTCTGTTAAAGATGGGTGTTCCTGGAAAACACATGATTTTCAGCTTGTTGGAAGTATTCACTGTTCTGAGAATCAGGCCAGTACTCTCTCAGGTGCTGGTACGGGGACTCTGTAGTAATTGGCAGGTTTATTTCTGTAGCCTTTGCTCAAATATTTTCTCAAATGCAGCTTCTAGTAAGAGCAGTAAAGCTTGTTTTTTTTCTAAATTTTGAGAAATGCAGATACATAAAGAACCTGTCTGGCAAACTGTTGTGCACTTGAATAGTACTCATTCAGTTCTGATGGAGGGAGCACATAAAAGTCTGTATCTTTGTAATTACAGAAAATGCCATATTTTTGTATGTATTTCTATGAATATGCATTAATTACTGATTGCATGTATTTTGTACAAACTTTGTTGCCTAGTTTTTGATTTGAGGACTCCAAAGCTTTTGAAAACACATACTTGGTTCAGGTAGCAAAACTCTTTGCATAACTTCAGCTTTGACTTTACTACCAGATACTCTGAAGTAGACATGCCAATAGCATTCCTGCATGAGGCTTGTCCAGACTTCTTGCCTCTGAGTGAAGCTATACAGTGCTAAAGGTACAGTGAATTTTATTTCAGCAGGCAGTATTCTCTCCTTACTTTTGGTCAGAATTTGTAGAACAAAATGAAACAAAAATTACATGTTCCTGCATGCTCTCTTTCTACGTAGAAAATCTCTGTGATACAAATGACTGCTTGGAGAAATGTACCCCATTCTTATAGCAAGACTTACGTAATTTAGATATAGGTAGAAAGAATAGTGCATAATAAACAAAGGATTTAACTCTGGAACAATATCAAATTTTTTAAATGCCATGTTTTTCTTTACTGTTGCATCCAAAATCCAGGACATGCTTAAGGCAGTTGTCAACAAAGGGCTGGCTTCATGAATATGTAGTCTTTTAATAGCTACATTTACTAATGATGTTTCCTAATATTAGCACAGCTGAAACTATTCATTTTTGTGACTTTTGATCCATCTTTGGTTTCCAAGCTGATACAGAGAGTTTAATGGGTCAAACATTTATTTTAGTAGTTTGTGCTTGTGTGACAAGAGTTTTCCAGTGCTGTCCTGTGTAGAGTAAGTTCTCTCAAGGTTGTGCCATCAGTAACAAAGCTCCTCAGTTGATAATAGACTTTGAAATGCTTCTAGAAATGAGTGTAATGGCATTTTTTTCCTCAGAGTAAGTCTAGGTGACAGACTGCTGAAAGTAAACTTGGGTGTTTGTCATTGTTGTTCTCATTGTTAAATTTCATTTGCAAAACTTCATATTGGAGAATGCTATATTGTTGTCTACTGGCACAGTTACTAGCTCCAATGCATAGTTTTCACATATTTTATGTCAGAGTCAGATATTCAAGTGTATGAGATTTTCATTCCATTAACTTATATTTATAATGAGAAGAACAATATTTGATTCCCTTCTGTAAGCAGGAATTATTTAATAGCAAGGACAACAAAGTACATAGTAATATAAAAAGCAGTCACTAGAAAAGCACCCCTGGCCTTGTTGTGTACAGTTAAGAGTAATGGTGTGATTTCCAAGGGAATTATTTCGGAATTAAATGATACAGAAGAACAGAAAGGGGGCATAATTCAAAACGTGGAACATTCTTCATGATCTGTAATAATTGACCTTCCTTTCAAGGCATTAGGGCAACAGAGAGATGCCAAATTTATTGGTAATACTTGTGACTTGCCAAATAACTGATCAAGTTTTAACTATTTTTTTTCCTGGGTGTTGCGATACAGCCTAAGGGAATTTGTCTTCATTTTGCAGGTCAAGCCTTAAAGGTATCAGCAGAGGCATTTACCAGTGATCCCTGCTATCTGCCTAAGAGGCAGGCCGTTGTCCAAGCAGCACGATCTTTGCTTACAGCTGTCACAAGGCTTCTAATTCTGGCGGACATGGTTGATGTGGCATACTTACTGGAACATTTGACCGTGGTGAGTAGAATTTGACTTAACTCAGACTCCCTTTAGCTAGAGGAGTGCCGGCTGCTGGTTCTTTTTGCTTTGAAAATTCTTGTTGTACTTCGGAATTGCAGATCTCATGCACGTAACACCTTGGCAATTGGTAAAAGTGTAGATTCTAGGTGAGATTTGTAGAATGTACCACAAGAACCCCTCTTCTACTTCTAACACAACAGCAGATGGTTATCTCTACAGTTATATTTTAACTTCCTTTTATTTCTTATTTCCTCTTTTTTTACTTGAATTCTTGAATTGTTGTATAGCTTTTTATGCGTGAAACCTTCTTGGTATTTGTGGCAGTAGTAGGGAATAATTTATTTGTAGAGAATCTTAAAAGTGGAATTTTATTTGGATATTTACAGAGGGAAGAACTAAGTAGGTAAGGGTCTATCTCTGTATACAAGTCAGTTTGAGAGAGAGATGAGCTAAAAGGAGAGGGAGAAGATGTGTGAGAGAGGCCTCCAGCAACTCCCCAGCTCCAGCTATGCACTGCAGACAGAAGACTAGAAAGTCCTGATGTGGGCAAAGCTTTAAAAATTGTGCAGTAGAAGATATTCTTTAAAAGCCACTTAATTTTTTCACTCAAGGGAATAATGTGTTTTCAAAGTGTGTATCATAATAGTGCTATGTTTTGGGGAAATCTTTTTTCTACCTGGCTCTCTTTATACAGAAGGGATGGCTTCATTGTTCTATTCCCATACAAAACTAACCAGAGGTTGTGCCACTCTTGCTGAATTAGACAAAAATGTCCACACTTCTGCTGTTCAACATCAAAATGCTCTCCTGTCTACATAAACTCAAGTTCCTTTAATGTCAGCCATAGTGTCCCATAGTGTCCTTCCTTTCTTGAACAGTGTGACTTTAATCTTGCCAGCATCATGTGTCTGACCACAAAAATGTGTTTACTGAGTTTCTTCTCTGTCTGCTTACTCCATTCAATCTGGTGGGTGCCTTTGCTGGGAAGAGGAAGGAATTGTTCTATTTTTGTTTCCCTTTTTTTCCTAACATCTTCAGTAATGTGTGACAGTGATAAAACCTCCAAGTTCTATTGACTTCTTAACGTTTCAGGGCAGAGGTGAATAATCAGTGCCACTTCTAATGCCTCATGCTACAAGAGGACCTGCTGACTTAAAGGAGACCCTTTTGAAGCAAGTTCAGTTTGTTGAGGACAGGGAAATGAAAATTTAGCTCCCAATCAGAGTAGGAACAGTATTTCATAATAAAACAATGTTGTGTGTATTTCATTGCTGTGTTTGAAACATCCAATGTTGACAATTGTTGGAGATGCTGTACAGGCTAAATGAACACTGACTTGCAGGAGCTTCTATGTTGTTATATATGCATGAAATTTGTCATCTCTAAGAGGAGTGGCCTATGTCTTTCGTAGTGTTTGTGGAAAATTTTCTTAAATTATGATATTTTTCATTGGTAGCCTATTACATTCTTACGTACCTATTTTCACAGTCCTAGATGCACCCTTCTAAAATGTTTTCAGTATATTTTACGGGAGAGAACTAAAAGTGGGTAGTTTTCTTTCCTAGAGTTTCAGTATTTCTAAACAACCATATAATTAATTTTATGATTTCCATTTGAAAATGAAAAACAATAACTGAAAATCATAAAAGAATGTAAAGAATCATTCAGGAATGACTCCAACACTGCAAAGACTGCAATTAAGTTTTCTTCTTCTTCCATACCTTAATTTAGTTCTCTTAATAGGAGTGAGAACTGAATTCTTCAGTTAACTCTTAGAATAAATTAGTGTGACATAACACTCTCCAAAATGCTTATGTAAAAAGGCTCACCCTAGTCCTTACAGGAAGGTGGTACATTTTCCATATTTATTTAGCCTCTGCCTTGGCTGCTGAACTCGCCAGCAGTGGTATCAGCTGTAGTGATGTCTTTTTATGTTGACATCTAATTAGGAAATCAACTTAGAAGATAGAGTAATTTCAATGTATGCTACTGAACAGCCTTCAAATTATAACAACTTTTGCTCATGACTAACCGAGCCAGGTTTAAATGCAGTTAAATATTTTAATGAGTCTCAATGTTGCTCTTTTCAAAGTCCTTAACTTTAATTGTTATACTTCAAAACTCCCTTAGGAATTCAGTTTTTCTTCAACACAGACTTGCTCCAACAAACAGACATTGTATTCACACAGTGGCTGCAGCATAGAAAGTAGACCTTGTCTTTGGTGTATCAGCTTTAATATTCTCAATGTTTGCATGTTCGTATGACTTGAAAATCAACTCTCTTTAAAAGCCATTAACAGTTTTTCTTTCAACTTGTTCTAAAATTTCAATACTTCTAACATTTTATCTTCTTCTTCACAAAGAAATGGGTGTTACAGCTGTTATTAATCTTCAGAGATGAGAAATTTCATTGCCCTTTATTTCTGTAACTCTGAGCTCTATAATTGTCATAGAATGAAATTAAGAAATTTAAAGGACTGAGCCAAAATTAATTTTAAAAATGGAACACCCCCCCCACCGCCCCCCCAAAACCAAACCAACCAAAAAAAGTAACTGTAGAATAAAGGAAATGAAAATTCTAACCAAGGAAGTTTTTTTGTATGTATAAAGTGAAAGATAGAGGTCCAGCATCATCAGAGAACTCTGTAGAGTATTAACCAGATCTTATTCAATACGAAGTATTTCATGGGGAATTATCTATTTATGTATCTAACACTTTTCAAAACAATTTATCAAGGAGTGCTGAAAGTTTTTAATCTTGCTCATTCAGTAAAGCTGGTTTATTTCAACACTGATATTCAAAACATCTGAAACCATACTTACTTCTACTGACAAAATGCAGTCTGGATCATTAAACTTTAACTTTCTCTGTAATCTGTGAATAAAAATAGAAAGGAAACAACGACAATGTGACTAGCTGTCATATAAACACTTTTCTAGTGTCACCTGTCACATCTGCCATTATAAGTATATCTAGGAAAAAAGATGAACCTCACCTACCTCCTTCCAATTTATGTAGTCTAAGAGTATTGTTTTCTGTACATTTTACTTAGACTTCAGACTGTTTTTTACTTTTATGTAATAAAATCTTTATATAAAACAGAGTGTAACACTGAAAATAAAAAATATTTTTGTCACAAAAATATTAAAATGTAACTTTTAAACTAGAAATAACAGGTCGGTGTATTTGGAAGAATTTGATAAACCTGGCAGGATTTTCACTCCAAATGTCCAAAAACGTACCTTTGTGAACATGAGATTAGCTTTTTTGAAATTTCACTAATAAAGTGGAGAGAATTTTGGTTGTTTTATGGATTCTACAGAATCTTCACCCAGCAAAGTGTGTATCAAATTATGCATATTAGAAGCCAGTACAAATTCTCAGTGACTGATCATATTCTGGCATAGTACACTTCTAGCTGTTTGTGGAATTTACAGCCTTGTAAGAGTATGATGGGTGCAAACAGCAAGCTCATTTTAGAGTTGACTGAGAAAATACATTACACTGATAAGAAAGGCTTTGCTTTTTTAAACAACTGAAAATTATTTAAACAGGGAAGAGTTTAAATAAATAGCTGTCTGTATCTGAGTTTCTGTACTTATTTTAGAGTTTGAAGTTTCTAATCATAAAACTGAGTTGGGAAAAATGTAGTTAGACAAAGAGCTATCTCATGTATTGCACTCTGATTCAGAGCTGTATTACCAGCTTCATTCATTATGGTTAGTAACGCTCGATATTATTTAAGTGAATTAACAGACTAATGGAATTGCTTGGATTTATTGATCAGAGGAGAACAGCAAGAAGGTAACAAGTTTTGAGAATTTCATTCAAAGCGCATTGGCAGTCTGTCTTTCTCTAATCTATTTCAGATCATGCTGAGCCAACATGTTTTATCTGCCTTTTTTCCCTTCTTGTCATGCTTGTAGATTTACTGTTTAAGTCTTCATATTTTTCATGAATGCCTCAGACAGCATGATCTTTATAAAATGCTTGCTTAGAGTTATTTAAAACCCTTGCCAGGAAAAAAAAAAAAAAGAGAATGGCTATAGATAAGAAGCAACTTGTGAACTTGGGCCCGGTGGGCATAGTGTTGTCTGTTCCTACTTTCCCTGCAGAGTATTCATCAGCATTAAAAATGTTTTGAGCAGGAGAAAAACAGTATGGTTACATAAAAAAAGAGAGGCAATTAATCTCAGGCTTACCTATGCTCGAGATTTAGGTATTTGGTTTGACTTGCATTACGCTGCTTGAACTAGAATTTGACTTGCTCCCTGTGTTACATTCTGACTGTTTTGGTATTGTGGTATCATGCAGTAAAACATTTAAAAATGGAAAAAGGGCAAAAAAGAACGTAGGCTACCTTGGGGGCAACAGGGCCAGGTTGTGAAACTGAAAATGATTCGAAGCTTCCCACCTTGCCTTTGGTGGGCATGGGTCACTCCCATGGCAAGAGAAAACTCTGAAAATAGGGAGTGTTAAGAAGATGACAGGAGTCTTTGGGAGTAAATTTGGCTTCTCCCTTGGTTCATGCTCTCATTTATTTTCTCATCAACCAGCAGAAATGGATTCTTGCTACCAGTCTGAGGTCAGTATATGCCATGTGGGATACAGCTGTTTGTAATCAGGGCTACAGTGTTTATCATTGCACTCTGCAAATTCTGTGGCAGTCTGTAATGCGCAATAAATGACAAGAGGAAAAGCAGATTCCAAAGAATTACTTTTAAGAGTCAGGCTTTTCAAAGTGAACACCTTTTTGAGTGCAAGAGGAGCATGGATCCACTTCTGTTCTGCGTATGGTGGCCTCTTGACTACCACTCTGTTACTCCCTAATGACTGGTGGCTTTACAGCCCCTAGGGCTTCCCTTGAAACAGCCATATTCTTAACTGTCTTGTAACAAACTGTTGCTAAGGAATTGGCTCCCTAGTCACTGTAGTTCTGTTTATATAATATCTCGTTTTGGTCTTAGCATGGGAATCACTGAAAAAAAGAGCATTATTCTTTTCTTGCCAGTCAGAAACATGGCTTTGAAGGGACCCTAATTGGCCAGCTTCATGTACTACTGTACCAGAATTTCTTTGATGTAAGCAAGCCTGAAGGCTCCTGAACCTGTTTTACCAGAGCACAAGAAAACCAAATGGAATATAGTGGCTCTATTTCCAAGAGGAAAAACACAATTGCTGGGTTAAAAACACACTTAAATGAAAAGATTTGAAAACAAATCCAATTCTTGCTTCTTTGCAGTGTAGAGCCTTCCCTTCAGTCTTATTTCCTTGGGATTTCATAAAGGATGCTATGAAGTGCAGCTGCAAAGGTACATTATTGAAATGTAATAATTAAACTAGACTTTAAAAATCAGACAGCAACTGCCTTTAATATCATTGCTTATTCCACAAATACTCATATTATGAATTGGTTTCCTTGCAACAGTTGAACATGTTAGCAACAGTGAACAGTGACCTTAACCTTTTATAGAAAGATGCAGAGCTACAGTATGAAGAGACTTTTGAGTCTTTATTAAATTGAATAAATTAATTTGAATGAAGATCAAAACAGTAAATTTTAACTTAAGTAGTATCAACATTTTAGTATGATTTCCTGTTGAAACATTATGCAACCACTCTGTTTATGTCACAGCCTCTTCTCTTTGAATTCATTGCCTCATTTCTATTATATATGACAGAAAAGCAGAAGTTCCAAGGTTCCTGAAAATAGGTAGATGGATAGTGGAGAAAAAAACAAAAAGGCTACATCAGGAGCTTATAAAGAGACCAGAGGAGTCTAGCCCTTATAAACAGCCTTACTGCAGGAGGAACTTCAGTCAGAGCTCACATCTCTTCTTTGACATTACAAGGAATAAGCTGTAAGACTATAGGAAATTTAGTCCTGGTGCTTACAATTACACTTACTAATTAGGTAGAGCCATGATCATTATCTGAGAGGAGGTTGCCGAACTTTACCATACTAATCAGGGGCATTGTTCTTAGGAAGAGCCCATATTAATAACGTTCTTCTGGTCCGTCCATATTCAGGATCTTTATTACTTTCAGAGTTTGATGGTATTTGTTGCTTCAAGATACCTAAAATGGGACTGTGAGAGTTGTTCCACTTAGACATCCATTGTGTGTTGGTTTCCAGTCAGATAAGCACACAACCTTCATTCAGTGATGTCTTGATGGTGCATGTTCAGGACATAGCATCTGGTGTGTTATCCACTTTGTGTGTTTTAGTGCCAGGGTGCTTGGCTCTAGTTTTAGAGTTGTTGATTTTGGTTTATTTTTATTGTGAAAGGAATGTTGTAATGTTCATAAATGTAATGTAATGTTCTTGTGTTTTGAAAAGTTACAAAGTTGTCTATGCAGTATCTGTGCTACAAAGTTTTCTATGGTAACTTGACAAACAGAAGCAGCCTTCAGAATTGTTGAAATACTGGTATTTCTTCTCTGCCTGTGGTCCAGCTTTCTTCAGAGGAAAAATCAGTCTGGGTAGTTCCCCGTAGTGCCACAGAGAGCAAAAGTAGTAAAGGAGTGCTACCTATCAACTTCCAGAAACTATGTTTAAAGTACTTTGAAAAAGTGACAGGCAAAAAAGAGCTTCTGTGGATCTCTTAGGATTATTTAAATTTGGTTATTGGTGAGAGAGAGAAAAAACTACCTTCTAGAGTATTAGTATTTCTTTTCACCTCTAGACAGTAAAAGTGTCAGTGAGAGAGGTTTTCTTGCCATTCATCCCAAAATGGTGGTTCGTACTGATAACAGAATGATACGGAAAGATCCAGATATGATTTTTAAGTTTAAAACATGTTCTGATAACCTTTGTTTGTCCAAGGCACATTTTTTTGATTTCCTGTTGATGGCACTGGAAAGAGCATATGTATGTTTTCTTAAAATTGCTTGTTTGTTTTTTATTCACTTTTGAATTAAGTTTTTTAAAAGTGTTTTTCCCTTGCATCTAAAGACAGACTTCGAAGTGGATGTCCTGGCCATTACCTGTCTATTTTATTGGAGTATATTACCCTTATAGTTAAACATTTGGTTTGTATTTACTCATCCTCACATGCTGGTTCTTATACCTCTTTCCAGAGAGCCAAATGCATTATTAATGTTTGGGTTGCTTCAGGACATAAGGAAGTCAGTAGGCTTGCTAGTAGAGTTCCTGCCAAAAGAAGAATTGAAGCTATGGGATTAAGTACATCCTTAAGAGGATGATGGTGGTTCTGCAACTATACAACTGTATTGTAGTGATGATAAAAAAAAAAAAAAAAAAAAAAGTTAAAAAAAGGACTGTACCTTATGTCCACTTAGTGAGTTTGGGAATCGCGAAGAGACCTTTTCCCTGTATTACTCAACCCCGTTACAAGGTGCAGCAGCTTTAGGGTAATTTCTGGAGAAGTGTGTCATAGTTTGGAGCTGAGGGCGTATGATGAACTTGGAGAGATATATTATGAGCAGTTTCTTACACATATATAAAGAGGGACCACTATGGATAGCTTTTGGTCAGCTTGAACTGTAGTCAGGTCTTGCTTGCAGATGTTGTAATTAAATTGCTTCCACCTAATGGGAATACCCTGGACTGGGAACTGGTGAAAGCAAGCATCGCAAATTCAAGGCTTTCAGAACAACTCTGGAGCAGAGATAAAATCTGAAAACAACAGATCCTACAAAGGGTGAAAGATAATGAAGTCAAACAGAAAAGAATAGAGTCTTGTGGTTTTGTCTTAGCATTTATGTTCTGTCACCTATGTTGTTATAGAATTCAGTGAAGTATACTTTGGGTGAGAAAGCTTTCTTTTATTTTTTGGTAGCAAACATTTCAAATGCAACTAGAAAGTCTCCAGTTAACCTCTAGTGGTGATGGGTAAGGTACAGTAAGATAAATTACAAATAGATATAAACACTGCCTTAACTTGCTTCTTGGTTATGAGAGTGGTGAGGCTTAAATAAAGCCTGCAATGTGACAAACAGGAAGTGCTAACTTGCCTGAAGATTCCGGGATATATCTTTTGTTGTGGATTGTCAGCTGAAATCCACTGCAGCTGCTTATCCCCAAAGAGGAACTGCCTATTGGCTGTTCAACAGCCTATACAACTGGGGCTTGATCTCAGTCAAATGCCCACAGAATGAGTCACACTGTGGAGTGGTCTACATCTATGGTCAGCACTAGCTGTCAGTTCTGTTGTCAGCTTTTTAAAGAGTGACTGAAGATGAGTGGAGTTTTTTTCCTTCTACTCCTATGGTTCATTTTACCAATTCAATGACTGTAGTTTTAGCAAAGGTATAGAGAAATGTGTGCTGTAGTTACTACTGAAGTGCTTGGTTTTCCAGAACTGACTGGAAAGCAGTCCATTTCTTTTGGTCTTTTGCTCCATTCCCTGGATATCAGTACCACATGTGAGCTTACAGTAGGTGCTTCATCTACAGGGCCTGTAACTGTAGTAAGCTAAGTCAATATTTTGAATGGATTTAGAAGATATGTAGTTCTTCCTGCTTATATCAGTGTAAATAAATGTTTATAGACTTGCTTCTGGTGGTAATCACTGTTATAACAAAATATTTCTAAACTACTTACAGCTTTACAACCATCACATACTTGTGAGGTGGAGTAGAATATTTACAGATGGGGAAACAGAGAAAGTCAGAGGAGAAGGTTCATGATTTCATGAAGGTAGCAAGAAAGCTGTAGTTCCCATTCTTTTGCACAAATCTTAGCCTTTCTGTTACAGTTCCCTACAGCTGGGCTGGTATTGTTCATCTCTTTGAAAAATACTGGTACTATTTTTAATAATAGTGTATGCATGAAAGAAGTTTTAAATTTAAAAGTAAGATCTGTAATGAAGTATAATTAATGTTGTCACAGCTTTCATACAGAATGTGAGCACATTGCCCAAGGTGAGTATCTGGTATTGCAAATTACTCTTAAGTAAATTAACTTGATAAGAAGTACCCTGTTATATATAAGATCTACTGTTATGCTTGATAGAATGAGGAGTTCATGGCCTGTATGAAGTGGCATGTGCTTTTATTAGTTGAAAAAATTGAATCTATATTAATATATTCCATCCTGTAACATGGCATAGAAGAAGAACTAACCTTTAGAGATTGTGTTGATTGCTAGTGTTTTGTCTTATGCAAGTCTGACCTATGAAGTTAGAGGATTTAATTTAATTAAACAGGGCATATGTACTATGCTTTGAATTCTGGGATTGATTTCAAAACAAAATTGTAGTAATATCTAGAAAGTGGTATACTCAAGAGGTGACACAACTCTATAACATGAGTATGTAGTAGAATAAAATCCTAATGCAGCGAAAAATACAGCACCTGTGTGAATGATGGTATTTGTTTTATTATCACAGTTTCAAAGAACCTTCGAATCTTTAAGAAATGTATCCAGTAAGTCTGATCTACAGAAAACCTACCAGAAGTTGCAAAAAGATCTGGAAAATCTTGATTATTTGGCATACAAACGTCAGCAGGTAAGAACACGGAAGCTTGGTAGGAAGACATAGAATACTGGGCATAAACATGATGAGTGGTAAAACTGATGTGTTTGATAGAGTCATTGTTCTATTAGTAGGGTTTTATACTTAATGTAATGTCATCAGGTAAGCCAGTAGAAGGGGTGACAGTTCTATTTAATGCATATGATGTTGGACTGCATGGGTTTTGATTTCTCAACAGAGAGAAAGACAGGTAAAGCAAGTAAGTGAGACTTAGCAGACTATTAAACTTTGCATTAATGCATAAGAAATTTTTGTTTAAATTAAAGGGCATAAAAGTACTGTTTGGATTTTTTGGCTTGAAAAATGAACTAAATCCCCATAAGTTAATGGAATCAGATATTGACTGTGCGTGCAAACCACTGGTTTTTTCTTCTTTAGAAGTGAATTTGCAAGGCTAGATTGCATAAAACTTTGAAGTGTATGCGGTCTTTGACTCATGCTTGCAAAATCAAGGTTAAATCGAATTGTTAACATGTATTTAATGTTGGACATACTTTCAGTCACTTATGCATGGCTTCTGTGAAAATGTCAGTTCTCATAATAGGTCTTCACTTCTTTTTTTTGTGTTCTTGGTTAAATTAGACTGCCTCTTTCAGAGCATACTGATGAAATGCTCTAACATTTCTATGTGGGTGTTGTTTTGCTTTGTATTTTTCTGAATTCTGTCGCTTGGTGTCAGTGTTGTCAAACACTTCATTTGCTTGGGGGCAGATCACTTAACAGTTGTTTATATCAGGTAATTGATTAGATAGTTAAAAATTAGGAAAGGGTTCAGGGACAGATGGTATCTGAACACATGAATATTTGATTCTTGAGATAGGGAGGTCAGGGAGCAATTGGCTTGGGTGAGTTTCAGTGTGGTGGGAGCTGTTATTCTGGTAGCACTATAGCATAGTTCTTTGTGCCCTTTGACATGGGGCTGCCAGCAACCAAAAGACAATGTTTTAAATGGCAACTAATGTGGATTTATGTTATCTGATCTCATAATTATGTCAAACATAGTAAATGTCACATATGCAAGGGCTTGGAGAGTACTTCTGAGCCAGGGAAGTGTAAATTCTATAATTACATCTCAGGCTATCATCACACTTTTATTGGGAGTAGCTTTCTCTAGCCTGAATTCTCATTCTTGACTTTGCAAAATTCCTTGTTATTTCAAGTGATGTATGTCTGGTTCTCTAGCAGACTCTGAATATGCTTCAATAACATACTTCGTTGCACCTTGAGCAGGGCATCTTTTCTCCTGTTTTCAGATCTTCATTACCATTCCCATCTCAATACTTTGCACTTTCAAGCCATTTGGAGAATCTCAACATCCTTGTTTAATATCAGGCATGCATATATCTCCCTGTGCTGTTTCTGCTCTATATTTAACTGTGTTGGCAGAAGCTTTTGCATTTGGAGGTACTAAAGGTGTATTAGGTGTAAAATTACTACCTGCTTTTATTCACAGAACAGAAGATAGGCTGTTCTATCTTCTGTTCTGTGATTGAATCTTTCTAAAATGTTATACAATGCTATCAAGAAAATAAACTAGGCAAAGCCTGAAATTAAAAAAAAAAAAAAAAAAAAAAGCAAACCCCCCAAACCAGACCAAAAACAAATGAGGGACACTAGAGATTTTTCTCTGTGTCTAAGTTAATTTGCATTGTGTACCTGATCAGTACTTGTATGGTTTTCTTGAGTAGTATTTTACCTGTTTTGATACTGAGATTTTTGTCTCAATAGAACTTGCTGGAGAATCTGCAGTGAGGGATTTGAAAACCTACCTTATCTATTTATTATAGAAGATGCTGTGAATTGTGACCTGCTTTGAAAAGAAAGTGATCTCTCTGTGAAAAGATTAAGATTTGGTTTGATTACTGTGCAAGAATCACAGACCTGGATTGGGACTGAAGCTGTTCTGAGTTTGTGACATTTGTATCTGAGTTGGTGGAGTGCGCGCATTTAATTAATAACAACTTACATTATTTCTTACTAGATTAAGGGTATATTCATAGCCCCACTGGCAAAATCTTGAGCCACTACCATCTGTTTGGAGGCAAACAATTTTATACAATGTGAATATGAATGCATTCATGGTAAAGTGTTTTATGTGGTCAAAGTAATGAATATTGCTTTTGAATGAAATATAGTTATCTGCTTCTGTCTTTATTTTTTAGAAATGAGACATAAAGTGCAATATAGCAACGTAATTCTTCAGTGGTGAAGTTTACAGGACAGATGGGAAATTAAAACTGTGGTTTTTAAAGGATGTTTAAAATGACCCATGTTGACTACGATTTATAAAGATAGACCAAACTTCTATGAGTGGTAGAAGTGTGCAAGAGGTAAACATGTTTGGGATGATGGTTTATATTAAGTTGTTTTTAACTGGCAATTTTCAGAATGGGATAGAAGGTCTTGAGTTTTCAGATAGCCAGCAGATTGCCGATAGAAATGTGTCTTTAAAATGGGCAGTGAGGTCAAGAATTCAGTTCTGTCTGTCTTTATACAAAAACCCCAAAGTTGTTAGCATATGTTGGTGAAACTTCTCAGAGCTTTCAGATTCTAATTTTGCAGATAGGCTGAGTGTATGTTTAAGGTGGTATGGAACTTGTCAGGGTGGCTAAATTCTTTGGTGATTACAGAGGAGGAAGATGGAAAGTCATTGGAGTTGGAGACTTTAATGTTGCAAAGTTGAACTGTGTGGATGACATCTAGTATTGTGGTCAAGAAGCCTGAACAATGCTCTTCGCCATTCTTCTGTGTCCCAAACACATACGAAGTATTGAATCACATCTATATGCCAGGTCTAGTTACTGTTGCTGTACTGTTGCTGTCTGTGATGAACTCCCACCATATTCAGGTCTGCTCCCAAATACATTGTTGTGTGTCAGAGCTTTCCTTCTTACTGTTGTTTAGGGAAACACACATCTCCATCTCTACAGACTTGCCATGCTTTTCCAAGAGAGATGGCTTATTAGCCAAGTTAGTTGAAAGTATGTTTAAGTCAGGTCAGATGAAGATACAGTAAAACCAAAATGTGTATACTCAACAGTGGAATGTAGGCCAACACTCTGCAGATGTTGATAAATGATTCAGGTGAAGAAATGCACAGGATCTGCTCACACTCAGGTTGTGGTTGCTACGCTGGCCAAGCTCAGTGCTGGTTACTGCAGACCCACCCACAGCCCTAGCATGGGCTCCATGTTCCTGTGCCTCCCATTCTGGCATTTGCGTAACCTTGCATATAGAGATGCTTCAGTGCGCTGAACTGACTTAAAATTACTTGCTTTTTGGTGATCTTATTATTTTGTTAAACAGTTGCTCACTTAGCACTCTCTATTCTCCATCCAGATGGATGTCCCTTCATCCATCTAACTTGCAGTGACCTAGTCTTTCTGCATGCTTCTAGGGTTGGGTTGCATCCACTAGAGAAATTCATTTGGGTTGAGAATATCAGTTTATAGCCAGTCAGCCATTTTGATGCCTTCCAGGAAATACCCGTCTCCAAGAAATGTAGCTTTTCTTTCTTGTCCAAGAGATAGTCTGGCAATTCCTTTGAATTAAAACAAGCTTTTAATTTCCTTGATACTGATTGCCATCTCTGAAATTTGACTAAAAAAGAATAGCTCTGTGCCACAATGAGTAGTAAAACTATTCTCTTGCTCTGTGACTTACTGGAATGTTTCCAATAAGAGTTAAGTAAGCTTTACTTTGAGCATTGTATTGTATCAACCTAAATATTAACACATCTGCAATATGAGTATTTATAAGGGAAATGGGATAGGACAAAATGGTAAAGCACTTTGGGATAAGAGGGGACTCGGTGATCCATCCCAACAGTCTTCTTGGGATACTGTAGTAGGCGCATGCTTCCTTATATGGGACCTTGTTCCTATTGAAGGGAAGTTGTCCATATATTGTTCAGCTGGAAGAAAACTGGTTTAAGGCCATTCATTATAATGACCTTACTGCAAGTTCATTTCAGGAGTGTTGGGCAATAGCTACAATAAAAATGGAATTATAATCAAATTCAGTGGTATTTAGCACCTGTCAAACTGAAAAATTGTTGCTGCTGCTGTTCTTAGTGTTAACAGTGCCTTTAGGATGCCTGTAGCAGTGCTGGCTGTAATTCAAAGACACTTAGTTTTTGCCTAGAAGTCTCTGGTAATGTGATAATCTAACAGTTGACAACAGAACTTTAGTATATGAACACACAAAAGCAGTATCTTAGTGTAAAGGTATGCTAATTTAAGGCTTACTTATCTGATTTTGATTGTATGCCCTCAAGGTAATTGTGTGTTAAAAGACTGAGTCTATATGAAACCATTTTGGTTATTTCATTTTAAAATCTTTCTAAGATTGCTTCCTGATGATTGTTTTATTTTGAAATGTCTAAAGAAGTTGTGTTTGATACAGCCCTTCTTCAGTTTCTAAGACGTTTATGGGGCACAGAGTAATTTACTTTGCTCATGGGAAATAATGCTTCCAGGAGGTGGAGCAGAGCCCTTAACCTGTTTTACTTCAGAGCAGCCCATCATTACTAGTACTGCAGTTGTCTTCATGATCACACAGGTCAAATTTACATTTTAAAAGTCTTAATTTTGGAATAAAGACTTGTTTCTACAGTCAAATGGCATTTCTCTTTGTTAAAATGGAATAAGTGCACTTTTATTCTCTACCTTTGATTGTTCACTTTGCTGTTGAAGATGGCATTGTGTTGAGCATGAGATTTGTTCACCAAAGTGCTCTACTCCAGAAACTGGAGCCAAGTTCTCAAAAGAGATTATCACCTATCAACTGGCAGGTTTATTGTGTGACAAACACTTTAAAAACTATGCTGGAAATTGGAGGGAGTTCAGAGTAGAGGTGAATTATTTGTTGTCAAGAAAACAAGCATTATGATGGAAAACTTAAGGAGCTCAGTCATTGTAGCTTATCTGGAAAAGGTTATGGCTTGGAAATGTCACAAATACAGGTACTTAACT